GAACATTAATTTTTTTGTCATGTCATGTTATTCTCTGTTGTATTATCTCAGTTTTTTAGGCACATACTACTGGACCTGTGTGCGGGCAGGGCTAGGTTGTGCGTGGGTTTTATCTTTTGTTTTAGCCCTTAATCAGGTTTGCCTCTATTAGATCAATCCAATAGTTCTATGCATATCATCTGAGGTTCACAAGAACATCAGTTGTGATTCTCGAAGGGTTGATTAAATTATTATCCCATGGCAACACAAGATCTCATTTAATTTGCGTGAAACATAAATATATCTCAGTGATACTTAATAACTTGCCATATATGTCTTGGTTATTTGATTTGCATGGTTGTATGCTGCCGTGGCATTAGCATACGCACTATACTAGTCAAGAATTGGAATTTCCACCCGCCCTTCAGATCTGATCCGTGAACCGGGCACATTTGGTATTTTCCATCAATCTATCTACAAGGTGCCTATGGCGGTTGCAGGTCACAATATTCAGAAATGGAACCGAGGCAGCGAAGAACGCATTGGCTTCCGTTCGGACTAGAGCAGACAGAGGAGTACAATATTTTGCTGCAAATGGTGTTGGGAAATTGGGTTTTTCTTATACTATATCTCAATGGATCACACACGAGATCGAATCACTAAAGAATTACACCCGGCACTCATGTCCAAAGTAAAAAAGAAAAGAAAAACCAAGAGGAGTAATCATTCAATCAGGCCCGTTCGTTTTTCTCGGAATCGAGGCATGGAAGATTTCCACGTGGAACGATAGGCTGATTTATATAGTAATTGAATAGCCAGAACGGATTCTGACCTCGTTCCGGAACAACCGAACGAGGCCTCAAGGAATTCAGAGAAAGCTGGGGCGAGGGTGGAAGGGGAAGTGATGCACCACGATCGGGTGATCACGCCTCTTCCTCCTCTCCTTGTCCTTGCCCCCTGCTGCTGCTAGCTGCTCGCCTCCCTTGTTCATCTTCTCCTCACCTGATCCCCGCTTCTACTGCTGCTGCTGCTTAGCCTCTGGATCACCTCCACATTGCTTACTGGCAGCAGGCGACACGGCAGCGACGGCGGCACCGCCGCAACATCCTCCCAAGAAGCCCAGCACCATGATTGTTGGCCGACAGAGCGAAGGATCGGTCGACGATGTTTTTCCTCTAATCGATCTTAGGGCAGGTACACCGCAGGCATACATTAGTATTAGCCCCATGTTAAAGTTAGGCTCCACGTTTGCAAGAAAAAAAAATCAAGGCTACCAGCTATCCATACACACATGGTTCCATGTCCTGCTCCTGCACAGCAAAAAGTAGATGCATGCAGTAGCTTTTTTACTCTCTCTCTCTCTCTCTCTCTCTCATCTCTCAGGCTAACACTTTCAGTCACAACGCATTCTTCGTCGTGTGCTTCTACTGTCCTTCAGTTGAAGCAAATGGTTCTTCTGCAAACTACAAAGACTACCTGCGAGGCCACCAGTCCACGTGACATGTAATCTTGATGCCGACGTGGAGGCTGGGGCAGTACGCCAAGCTGGTGCGATGGAGAAGGCCTTAGCACGGCCTTAACGTAATTCTCCGCAGCCGATCGATCACCTCCTGATCGTTATTGCGTTTGAGCTCCTGTGGTCTACGTGAGAGCCAGCTGTATTTATAGGAGGCCGCTGCGTGATGGGCCGGGGTGCTTTTGTTGCTGCGCGCGGATGCCGGATCGCAAGGGAGGGTAGCTCGAAGCTTCGTCCAAGAAGGCCGGGGGGGTGAACGAACGAGTGCTTGCGGATACATGATGCTGACGCTGCCTTGGTTGCCAAGGTTTCTACTCCCTTGCTTTGACTCGGACTCGGTAGATGCTCAGCTCGGCGTCCACGGTCAAACCAACCTGTGCTTTTTTTTTTTTGTTAACGAACCAACGTGTGACTCGGACTCGGTGCTGCCTTATATTTTTTTATTTTTCCCTCTTAAAGTTTAGTCTATGCCATATCGGATGTTTGATATCAAATTAGAGAATTAAACATAAACTAATTATAAAATTAATTGCACAGATTGAGACTAATTTACGAGACGAATCTATTAAGCCTAATTAGTTTATGATTTAACAATGTGGTGCTACAGTAAATATGTGCTAATGATCAATTAATTAGGCTTAATAGATTCGTCTCATGAATTAGTCATGGCTCCTGATGTGACATCCAATGTGACACTCGATGTGACCTTTTCTAAACTTTAGTCCCTGTATAACCTGCCACTGTGCCACATGGCACGTGCTATTAGTATTTTGTTTCAATTTATTTAATTTAATTACTGGAGAGCAGATGCATTCCCTGGATTAATAGTTCTTGTGTCTGTCTATCTGGCGACTTCATTCTGCGGAGCCCGGCCGGCCTGTGAGATTTCTTTACTGCGTTATTTATTCCTTCTCAAATATTGTTTTCTCGAATTTGATCTGTCGCCGCACAAATAACTTTTCTCGAACACATAAAAAATTTGCACATCTTTATATTAAGATAGAGAAAATTTGTTTGCAATGCGTTTTGGCGGCGCCTCATGTGAGAGTCAAAAGTAATCTTATACTCTTATAAAGCTAAACTCCACTAGGGATTTCTCTCAACATGCAAGCTATCCACATCAATAATCCACTGGAACTTGCAATTATAGCCAACTAGCACATGTAATTATGATAGTTATCTCTTCATCCACTACTATACATTTAGTTGTCCATATCGATATGTCAAACCATTCATAAAAATTAATTTAAGATAGATTCATTCATATAACTATAAATATAAATAGTCTAATTTTTTTTAAATTATCTAGAATCCCTGCAACATCTCCTATTTGCAAATGCGCTTGTGTCCTCCCTAGTTAACATAAAAGATCACAAAAAATAGGAGGTGAGTGAAGGACCAGTTGCCGCTATACTTGCTACGGACCAGTCGGACCAGAAGATCGGTACGGAACATCTCATGAGTACTATTTAATAATAAAAATAAACCACGGAACATTATCAGAACAATAAAATAAAGTGTAAATTGTACTCACCATATAACAACTATTTAAGTGGGTGCATGTTAGTCCAACAACTTGTAATTTGTCTAATTTAATGTGGTAAGTATCTAGATAGGTGTGTGTTGGTCCAACATCTTGTATTCTGTTTAATTTGATACGAAAACTTGGCTCATTGGTACATATATGGTCCAAGCATTGTAACAACATGTCTTTGTACACTCCAAATCACTGTCCTTGGAAGCTACACCCTAGCACACACTCATCTCATCCATCACTCAGCTTGAATCGTTTACTATATTATTATACCATTTCTGAATTTGGCCAAATATAAAAGCTTCCATTGATTTCATAAATATGGAAAATACCAAACTGACTATTTTTATTTCTATACTATAATATGTTTTTCATCTGTTTTCACCCCTACCTAGGGTCATTTAAGGCTCACTAAAGCCGTGGGTTGTCCATTGCATGGAGGAAGAGCTGCAACTTGGTTTAGGGGTTTTTCCTATACTCAAATTTAAAAATAGAAATTTAAGGTAAACCATCAATGGTCAATATGCCGCAATGATTTGAACTGGGCGGTCTCCTTGTGTTGTCATGCATCCCCGTACACTTATAATATTTCCACATCTCACAAATATCATTAGACCCTTAATTGTACTAACATCAATGTGCAAAAATCCGCTAGGCAACCGTACGCTTTCCAAAAACTTGATAGCCCGGCACAGCGAGCAGAGATGTCGTGGCATGGCCTGGCTCGTGCACGCTCACGTCTCAGCTCGGTGGTGTCACGCGCGTGCACGTGTGGCACGTCCTTCAACTTTTCAATAGGATCACACATAGTTCACCTATTTAAGTTGAATCAATGTTTAGTCAAAATTCATACGAGACTAAACTATATTGCACTATAACATTTAACATGGGCTAAGATTTTTTGATTTTGTTGAATTAAAAGTAGATCAAGCCTAAATTAAATCCAACAAGTAAGAGATCTAGCTTGCCTGCAAATGAGTCATTATTCCAATGGCATCAAACACATGTGCTTGGACCATATATGCGTCAATAAGTCAAGTTCTCGCATCAAATTAAACAGACTACAAGAAGTTGGATCAACATGCACCCACCTAAATAGTTGCCACATTAAATTAGACAAATTACAAGATGTTGGACTACCATGCACCCATTTTAATAGTTGTTGTATGGTGAGTGCAATTTACTCTAAAATAAAACTAGAAAAGTTTCAAGCGAATAACACCACAATATCACAAGATCACGGATACATGAAAAATGCTATTAAATATATAGAACAAAAATACAAACAAAGATAGATAAAATAAAATATAAGTAAAGAAAATACAAAACGCAGAAGGAACATGAAAAGAGAGAGGTAAAAAAACACGTAACATAGGAAGAAATAAAAAAATGTAAAAACAAGGTGTCAATAGGAAAAAAAGTCAAGAATAACAAAAAGAAATAAAAAAAATAAATAAGAAAAAAAGAAAAGAATAAGAAAGGCTTTACCTGTTCCCACGACACGAGCACTCGAACGCAAAGCTATCGTCACGCACATGCATCGTAGTGTCCGGCCCAACCAAGCATTACACAGCCCAATATCAAATCATCATCAACCTGTCATGGAATTCCACCTGTCATAGAGAACAAAAAGATGGTCGGAGATAAATGGACTTCGTTAAAGAAGAAGGCCCATCAAACAGCCCAAAGCCCAAGTCCCCAACACCTATATCCCTTGCTCGGCCTCTCCCGCATGGCCGCATATCCGCCGTCGCCGCTGGTTGCTCTCCCGCATCTCTCCTCTAGTCGCGCCCGCCGCCGTCAGCACACGCACGCGCCCGCCGGCCGCCGCTCCTCCTCCCCCACCGGCGACCTCCGCCCGCACACGCCTAAACCCTAAACCCTTCCGTATTCCACTGTCCGTATTCCACCCTTCCTGCTGCCGGCGGCAGCGGCGCAGAGAAGAGCCAATCCGCCGGCTTGATCTGAAGCATGGACAAAGTAAGAAAGGGGGCGCTGATCGAGCAACCCGCCCATCCGCTGCTGCTACTCGTGGGGATGCCTTCTCTATGTTTGTGCCTTCGTGGGACTGATTTGAGTGTGGTTTTGTGCAGCAACCTGATGCGCAGGGGGCGGAGAAGGTTGCTGAGGAGAAGGTTCGTGTACTCACTTACCTCACCTTGTCTCACGGAAAAAGGTCCTCCGGGAGTACTTGGCACCTTTGTGCAGTCTGAACTGCATTTACTTTTTGTTCAAGTTAGCAACTTATTCTATTCATTCATTTTTTGTTCCTGCAGCAACTTGATGAGAAAGAGTTAGAAAGGAAGCTGAAAAAAGATCAAAAGGTATCAATCAAATTCTGTCTTGCATTGCTCTCTGTACTAATTTCCCAGATATATTCTTTGGACTTGGCTCAACGGGTTAATTGGTGATTGGATGGCCTGAAAACGGTAGTTAGATCATACTTAACAGTAATGGTGTGTTTGGTTTGTGGAGTCACCCCCCATGCTTCATGAGGTGATGCATCATGAGTTCATCCCATGAATTTTGGTGGAACCAACCCATTGCTCATGCATATACTAATTATTAGCTTGTGAGGAATGAGGTGGTGATGGATCAACCCATTCTATTCCACAAACCAAATAGAAAAAGTGAGGAGTGAGAAGAAGATGGACCACCTTATTCGTCAAACCAAACACACCCTAACTTCACTAAGTCAGAAATGATCTGAATTATGAGATCAGGCTGTTTTGTTATTGTGTATCGGTGTATGTTATAATCATTTATGGGTTAAATGTGATGCTCTCAGGCAAAAGAGAAAGAAGAGAAAAAACTTAAGGCAAAACAAAAGGAGGCGGCTAGGCTCCAGGTTCGAATATAGTACTCTAATCTGTTTATGACTGAGCAGATGATCCAGATGTCTAGTAAATGAAATGCTTGCTGGATATGACTTAGGCACAAGCAACCTCAGATGGAACAAAGAAGACCGAGAAAAAACAAAGGAAGAAAGCTGTGGAGGATGAAAATCTGCAGGATTTCATAGGCCCAGACACTCCAAATGGGCAGAAGAAATTGCTCGCATCTCAGATGGCCAAGCAATACAGTCCAAGTGCAGTTGAGAGATCGTAAGATGCTTGATTAGTTCTTTGCATTTGTTGATTTTATAATTCCTAGCATTGGAAATGTCTGGCACAACTGCATGATTTCTTTTGTTGTTTGCAGATGGTATGCCTGGTGGGAATCATCCGGATATTTTGGGGCAGATCCTGCAAGCACAAAACCACCATTTGTTATAGTAAGTGATCCATGCTCTCGAACAGTAGTGCAATATAAGCTAGAAGCTGATTTAGCATACTGCATCTTTTGACATACTGTAGTGCTTTTATATTGTCAAACATTGGTTAGCTTCCAACAAAGAGTTGAGTTATGTCTTTCCAGGTTCTGCCACCTCCAAATGTGACTGGAGCTCTTCACATCGGCCATGCACTTACAGTGGCTATAGAGGTGTTGTTTTTTCTTTTTTGGTTTGCAGAGGTCGTTATGCCATGTTAATGGTATAGACATTGACTATACAATGGTTTTGTAACCAATGCAGGATGCTATGATACGCTGGCGTAGGATGTCAGGCTACAATGCTCTGTGGGTCCCTGGAGTGGACCATGCTGGCATTGCTACACAGGTATGCATTTAGGAATTTGTTTACTATCAGATGATGCTTATATCATGAAACATAAGGTTTCAGATGATAGAATTTGTCATTCAAGTTGTGGAACAAACATGTATCGACCCATGCTGTCAGTGATAATTAACAATGTACTGCCATTAAGAAATCCTCAACAAGGTTGTTGGGACATGTCAATAAAACCCTTTTCTGTATTTTTAGTGAAACTTTTAAAATAATGTTTTGAATCACATTTCCTACTTTTGGATTTGGAATTTACTGTTTAGCAATTGCTCATTCATTAATTGCATAGTCCATATCATTTTTGTGGCTTCTATTCCCTTGAGCAAATTAGTACTGTATTTTTGCTCATTTCAACTTGTATATGTTTTAACTTAGCATTTTTAGTTCAGACTTCTTGTTTGGACAACAGAGTACTTCAATTTTTTGTACTTCGCTTTGACATCTGTTCTCATTTATATCAGGTTGTTGTAGAAAAGAAGCTTATGCGTGAAAGGAAGCTGACAAGGCATGACATAGGGCGTGAAAAATTTGTTTCTGAAGTAAGCACTTCTTTTGCATGACATATGATTATATGTGGGCCAACTGTTTCTCTATCTGTTATTTTACCATTAATAATGGACTCAGTCTCCACTGTGGTTCTGAAACATCATAGTTACTGCCATGTTCTGAAATGAATGTGTTGTCTGCCTTTTCTGATTCCTTAATCCTGCTCCTGATGTATCATATTTAGGTTTGATGTTTGCTTATTCCATTTCTTTATCATCTTACAAACAGGTACTCAAATGGAAAGATCAATATGGTGGTACCATATTGAATCAATTGCGCCGGCTTGGGGCTTCACTTGATTGGTCCCGTGAGGTAACATACCTATTTATTTCAGTTTGGGAAAAAAACATGTCTCGTGCTTGAACCATGCATATTAACACATAGTAACTTCATTTCAAACTTGGCACCAGGCTTTTACAATGGATGAGCAAAGATCAAAAGCCGTAACTGAAGCTTTTGTCAGGTTACACAAGGAAGGCCTGATATATAGGTCAGTTTCCTCACACTTCTTATTTGAGTGTTAGAATGAAATATTCCACAATTTAGTTTGCTACAATCCTATACCTTTTCCTTTTTTTCAGTTGACAACCTTGTTGTCACATCTAATGAATTGTTTATTCCTTTTCAGAGATTATCGCCTTGTCAATTGGGATTGCACACTTCGAACTGCAATTTCTGACATTGAGGTTGTTGATGGAACTTTATATTATTTATGATAGACTTTGTGATCCTTTGTACGCATGATTAGATGATTTTCTGATGGAAAATACTGTTTTGCCAGGTTGATCATATTGATCTTAAAGAAGAAACTATGTTAAAGGTCCCTGGTTATGCCAATCCTGTACAGTTTGGTGTATTGATATCTTTTGCCTATCCTCTTGAGGAAGGACTTGGTGAGATTGTTGTAGCAACCACCAGAATAGAAACAATGCTGGGTGATACAGCAATAGCTGTTCACCCTGAGGACGAAAGGTATAAGCATCTGCATGGAAGATATGCAGTCCACCCCTTCAATGGACGAAAACTCAAAATAATCTGTGATGCTGAGTTAGTTGATCCCACTTTTGGTACTGGGGCTGTCAAGGTAAGACCTGCTGAGGACTACCTTCTTATCATCTTATATTGTACCTACCTGTACCATCCTCATATCTATCCTCTTAGACTATATTGTTCTTTGCGTTTTTTTATGCAGATTACTCCTGCCCATGATCCAAATGACTTTGAGGTTGGAAAGCGTCATAACCTTGAATTCATCAATATATTCACAGATGATGGAAAAATAAATAGCAATGGAGGTGCACAATTCGATGGAATGCCAAGATTTGCCGCTCGTGTTGCTGTTATTGAGGCACTGAAGGAAAAGGTATTATTACTGGATTTGCTTAACTAAGTATCTGAAAATAGCTGATTATCAATCGCTTTTTATGAATATATGCATTATAATATGTGGAATTCAGTGCATAATCTAACAAAGTGAAAATAATAATAGTGAAATATCATGATTGTTGTGCCATAATCGTGTTTTATGTATTTATTTGTAATCTGTTGTACAAAGAAAACAATCAGTATGAGTCACATTAGTCTATATTCTAGCATGAATTACTTTCAGTTCAGCATTAGTATTGGAAACAGCTTATCATTTAATTTCAATAAATATTGATTCTATTAAAATTAGCAATTGCATCAGGTATTCAGGTTGGGATCGGCTATCCATAATTACGTTTTTTCTTGAATCTCATGTCTTACATATATCCTTCACACTGGAAATTATGGATATCTTATTTGATTGTTTCATCATTTTTTTAAGATGTTGGTCTTTGCCTTCTTGTTTTATATATGGATTTTGATTGTAACATTTTTTATTCTTGTAATTAAGGGGTTGTATAAGGACACAAAGAAGAATGAAATGAGTTTGGGCGTTTGTTCAAGAACTAATGATGTAGTGGAACCTATGATAAAACCACAGTGGTTTGTTAATTGCAGCACCATGGCCAAGGCAGGCCTTGATGCTGTAAGGTCAAAAAAGATTGAAATTATTCCCCAGCAGTATGAGCAAGACTGGTACAGGTATTACATACAATGTGTTGTGACTTGTAATTATCATGTCAAATGAATGAGATAAATGTGAAATAAATGACCTATCCATTACTGCTGTCTTTGCAGATGGCTTGAAAATATACGTGATTGGTGTATCTCGAGGCAACTTTGGTGGGGACATCGTGTACCTGCATGGTATGTGACACTAGAAGATGACCTGGATAAAAACCTTGGTTCCAACAATGACCGCTGGATAGTCGCAAGAAATGAAAGCGATGCAAATCTTGAGGCACAGAAAAAGTATCCAGGAACGAAATTATGTCTAGATCAAGACCCTGATGTGCTGGACACATGGTTTTCATCTGGTCTTTTCCCCTTAACAGTACTTGGTTGGCCGTCTGATACCGCTGACCTCCGTGCTTTCTACCCTACATCGGTACTAGAAACTGGACTTGATATTCTCTTCTTTTGGGTAGCAAGGATGGTGATGATGGGAATGCAACTTGGTGGTGATGTGCCATTTCAGAAGGTATAACATCAGTCTTCATTTCCTTAGCAGTCTATTTGTTCATGTTAGGTACTATATTCAAATCCTATCACTGCCTTTTATATCCCTTCATGTGGTTAATTTATGGAACATTATAATCTGATCAAGGAGAGACACATGCTAGAGCAATGGTCAATCTACCCACAATACTATGGATGTTTAAAGTTATCAAAGAGGGCTCTCGGAAGGAAGAAGAGGACATAAACAACATGTGGGAGAAGATGCCAACCAACATTCGGAAGGTGACCTCAGAGGTGTGTGGAGTAACCAAAGTAAGTGGAGGCGAGACTAGAGATACTTGGTGGTGGAACGAGGAAGTCCAAAGGGCTATTAAGGAGAAGAAAGAATGCTATAGACGCTTGTACCATGACAGGAGTGTGGACAACATAGAGAAGTACAAGGTGGCAAAGAAGACTGCAAAGCGAGCTGTAAGTGTGGCAAATGGTAGAGCGTACGAGGATCTTTACCAACATTTGAGTACGAAGGAAGGAGAAAAGGACATTTATAGGATGGTTAGGGTTCGTGAGAGAAAGACAAGGGACTTCAACCAAGTTAAGTGCATTAAGGATGAAAGGGAGCATCTTTTGGTGAAGGAGGATGAGATCCGACATCGATGGCAAGAGTACTTTGACAAATTGTTCAATGGTGAGAATACGGACACAATCTTTCAGTTGGATGACTCTTTTGATGACACCAATAGACGTTTTATGCGGAGAATCCAAGAATCTGAGGTCAGAGAGGCATTGAAAAGGATGAAAGGAGGTAAGGCGATGGGACCGGATGGTATCCCAATCGAGGTGTGGAGATGCCTCAGGGACATAGCTATAGTATGGCTAACCAAGCTGTTCAACCATATTTTTCGATCGAACAAGATGCCTGACGAGTGGAGGAGAAGTATATTGGTACCGATCTACAAGAATAAAGGGGATATTCAAAGTTGTACTAATTATCGGGGAATTAAGTTGATGAGCCATACTATGAAGCTATGGGAGAGAGTTATCGAGCATCGCTTGAGAGCAATAACGCGGGTCTCTATGAACCAATTTGGTTTCATGTCCGGAAGGTGAACCATGGAAGCCATTTTCTTAATAAGACAAGTTATGGAGCGGTATAGAGAGAAGAAGAAGGACCTACACATGGTTTTTATTGACTTGAAGAAGGCTTATGATAAAATACCAAGGAATGTTATATGGTGGGCTTTGGACAAACATAAAGTCCCAACGAAGTACGTCGGGCTCATTAAGGACATATACAACAATGTTGTGACTAGTGTTCGAACAAGTGATGGAGGTACGGATAACTTCCCGATTAGGATAGGACTACATCAAGGGTCCGCTTTGAGCCCTTATCTGTTTGCCTTAGTGATGGATGAGGTCACAAGGGCCATACAAGGGGACATCCCTTGGTGTATGCTTTTCGCGGACGATGTAGTGTTAGTTGATGAAAGCCGGACATGAGTGAATCAGAAACTAGAGTTATGGCGGGAGACTTTGGAGTCCAAAGGTTTTAGACCCAGTAGAACTAAAACTAAGTATATGAGATGTGACTTCGGCACTATTACTCGGGAGGAGGAAGATATTAGTTTGGAAGGTCAAACAGTGCCTAGGAAGGATACCTTTCGATATTTAGGATCAATGCTACAGAGTGACGGGGATATTGATGAAGATGTTAGTCATATAATCAAAGTAGGGTGGATGAAGTGGCGCCAAGCATCTGGTGTCCTATGTGACAAATGAGTACCACAGAAGCTAAAAGACAAGTTTTATAGAACGGCGATTAGACCTGCTATGTTGTATGTTGCAGAATGTTGGCCTACGAAAAGACGACATGTTCAACAGATAAGTGTCGCGGAAATGCGTATGTTGCGTTGGATTTGCGGTCATACAAGAAGGGATCGAGTTCGGAATGATGATATACGTGATAGATTAGGGGTAACATCAATTGAAGAAAAGCTTGTCCAACACCGATTGAGATGGTTTGGACATGTCCAACGGAGACCTCCAGAGGCACCGGTGCGTAGTGGAATCCTAAGCTAGGATAGTAACGTGAAGAGAGGTAGAAGAAGACCGAAGTTGATTCGGGCAGAGGCAATAAAAGGAGACTTGAAATGATGGAATATACTAAAAGACTTAGCCTTAGATAGGAGTACTTGGAAAACAGCTATTCACGTACCTGAACCTTGATTGATTCTGCTGGGTTTCAACTCTAGCCTACCCCAACTTGTTTGGGACTTAAAGACTTTGTTGTTGTTGTTGTTGTTGTTTAAAGTTATTAGAAGTTCGTTAGATGAAATAAGGACCTGCCCAATCATTCGTTACTGGTTTGCTCCGCCCTTCATCTCTACAGGCCACACTGATATTTAACATATATTGTTCGCGTGCTTTGGTCACATCATTCATTAGCAGAACGTGGTGTCTGCATTTCTGTTGCAGTCTATAAATTCATGAAGCCACCAAATTCTTTTTTTTCTGGCTGCAAATTATTCTTTTTATTTTTTAGCTCAATTAGCAAGTCACCCATATACCGTGCCTCTAAAAAAAACACAGTCTAGTCGAGTATATTTCCTAATCATCTCTTGTCCGATGATCAATAATCATGTGCTCTCTTCTCAGGTTTATTTACATCCTATGATTCGGGATGCACATGGCCGAAAGATGTCAAAGTCACTTGGTAACGTTGTTGACCCTCTTGAGGTGATAAATGGCATGTCACTGGATGGTCTTCTGAAACGTTTGGAAGAAGGCAATCTGGATCCAAATGAACTAAACATCGCAAGAGATGGGAAGAAGAAGGATTTCCCTGATGGCATAGCAGAATGTGGTACCGATGCCCTCCGCTTCGCACTGATATCGTACACTTCCCAGGTTCTTATGGCACCCAGTTGAGTTTTTTCATGTATAATGTATTATACATGCTCTATTACAATCTCTTTTTTTCCCCCTCAGTCTGACAGGATAAATCTTGATATCAAGAGGGTGGTTGGATACAGACAATGGTGCAACAAATTATGGAATGCCATCCGTTTTGCGATGGGCAAACTGGGTGATCATTACATTCCGCCGGCAACTGTTGATGTGTCTCTTATGCCACCAATCTGCAAGTGGATACTCTCAGTGCTTAACAAGGCCGTTGGGAAAACCGTTACTTCTTTAGAAGCATACAAATTGTCTGATGCAACATCTGCTATATACTCGTGGTGGCAGTATCAGCTATGCGATGTATTTATAGAAGCTATCAAACCTTACTTCTTCAACGATTCTCAAGAGTTTGAATCAGCAAGAGCTGCCTCCAGAGATACCCTGTGGATTTGCCTGGAGACTGGTCTGCGCCTGCTCCACCCATTCATGCCCTATGTAACAGAAGAGCTCTGGCAGCGTCTTCCACAGCCCAAAGATTCTTGCAGGAAAGATTCGATTATGATTTCAGAGTATCCATCTCTTGTTGAGGTAATACACGTGTCCCAAAGAAGATTGTTCTTGTAGGAAATATTCAATTATGATTTGAGGAAAGAGTAGTACTATTACCCATGGGAACATATGGTTCTTTATGATAGGAATGGAGTAATGGCGGACTTGAAAATGAAATGGACATTGTCTTGGATGCTGTGAACAAAATAAGGTCTCTGAAGCCACCAACAGATTCAAACGAAAGGTATGTATACTGCGATCTGTTTTGCTATGTGTTTAGTATTTGCTTGGTTGATTCATCAACCTGCTTCTGCAAAATGGAGTAATAGCTTATTGATGTTTTATTTTTTATTTTTTATAGACGTCCTGCTTTTGCACTTTGCCGAGGGCAAGAGATCGCAGCCACTATCCAATGCTATCAATCTCTAATCGTGTTTCTTTCTTCCATATCACATCTCAAGGTTATGCCTTACACTTTTGTATGACTATTTGTGTTAATTTCCAGAAATATCTTTTCCCTTTCATCATCTACAATCAGTTTATGGATTGGAATTTATGCTGAAACCTAAATGGAGTTTTGTGACCTCAAATAGCTATTGTTACCCACTGGTTCTTCCCAAATAACATTTCTTCATGTCTTTCTTCATCTGTTAGCATTTATATGCTACCTACTTACGCTAGAAAAAAAATTAAAATCCACCTGAGTTAAAAGCACTGATCTGTTATTGGTACTTCAGATCCTGACGGAGAACGATGAAACTCCAGCTGATTGTGCAACTGCTGTTGTCAACAAAGACTTGTCTGTGTACCTTCAGCTCCAAGGAGCTTTAAATGCAGATGCTGAACGTGAAAAGCTAAGGAAGAAAAAAGACGAAATTCAAAAGTAAGTGCACTTGTCTTCTTGGCTCGTTTTCGACAGTAAAGATCCTCCACATGTTTAAGTGTTGTTCGATCTTATCGGTAACAAGTCTCGTATCATACACGCAGGCTACAAAATGCACTGGCACAAAAAATGGACGCCTCTGGCTATCGCGAGAAGGCTCCACAGAGCGTGCAGGAAGAGGACATGAGAAAGCTCACCGCTTTGTTGGAACAACTAGAGGTCATCAGTGAAGCTGAGAAGAAATTAGATGCAAACTGAGTCTGTGACCTGTGTTGAAGACGCCCTGATTGTACCAAAGTTGGTCCCCACATTTTTTTTGTTTGCAAAAAGCTCAGCTATGTTCTTGTTTGCTCAGGTTTACAATTGATGGTTCAGATGGAAGCCACACTTTTGCAGCGTGTAAAAATATTCACTAACCATATTTCTTAGATGTTCGATTTTCTCAACTTAGAAACTTTTGATGATGCATATGGAAACTCTGTCAGAACTAGCAGGTAATCCCGTGCTTTGTGTGGGAAAAATACTGACTTACCTAGTAATTAAGAAAAATTAAACGTGAAAAAAAAACTGACGGCCAATTTTTCAGAACTATTTCAGCAGTTCTGTTTAGCGAAGGAACAATGTTTTTCTTACAATAAATCAGCATAAGCAGCAGTAGCGTAAGTTAAGTTTTAGCGAAACGAATAGGGTCCATCTGTTACATAGTTGGGGGAGAGGAAGTTGCAACAGTACCCGTGGAAAGGTGCCATAGGGTTGCGTTCCCGTGAACAGGTGCGCCACAGTAATAGTCGACGTGGCCGTTTGAGGGATCAGGAAATGGTGTATAAAATAAAAAGATAAAATAAAACAAAATGGTAGATGGTAGATATGCAGTAGCCGTACTATTATGGAGTGTTTTTTTTATCGGGATTATGGAGTGTTTGGTGTCGAGTGGTGCATTGTGAATCCATTCATCTATTTTATTAGAACTAGAAAGCGCACCTTTACACCGCTAACAAACATCCACTATAATAGAGCCAAATAACAAGTTAAAATTTTCTCCTCTAATGACTAGAAACATAAAAGCAAATGATTAGAAACAAACACCTTTGCACCGCAAGCAAACATATGCAGTAACAAAGCCAAATAACAAGGTAACCTTTAACATCAAACAACTAGAAGGCAAGAGCAACTCCAAGAGACTCTCTAAATCCTTCCTAAATGCTAGGAATAGAGCTTTTGGTGAAAGACTACCCTACAACAGCTTGTCTAAATGGTTATCCAAATATAGCCATCTTCTATTCCGGATTTCTCGATAGCAAAAAATAAGAGACGAGAATGACTCTCGTGTGCATGAGATATAGAAAGACCTTGGAGAGTGAAAAGATATAGAAAGTGATTTTTATGCAAGTGACTCTTCAAATGATGATTTAGAGAGTGAGATTTAGCAAGACTCTTGGAGATGCTCTAAAACAAATGAATGAAAGTGCACCTTTACACAAAAACTGGCATCCAATGTAACAGTGCCAATGCAAGAAAAAAATGTAACCTTATGAGAGTGTCTATAGCTTGCAAGAAACTCGGCTTCATCTCGAACCACACATTCCACAAGCACCTCTCTTTCTCATATAGCATGAATCCAACTAGTAACACACATGTGCCCACTTGATCATCAGCCTGTTCGTTTGGCTGTGGCTCGTCGTAAAGGATCGTAAATTTCCGGCCGGAACAGTATTTTTCTCTCACACAAACCAGCCAGCAGTACTTCTTCACAAACCAGCAACGAAACGAACCAGCCAACCGAACAGGCTGCATCTTAGTTGTCCTACATAAGTTCACAAGTAATATCTAGTACACAACCAAAAAGTTGTTTGATATTTCTTTAACAAAGAAATCATTAAGAAGCAAGCATGTAAGATGGTAAACGACAAACCGACTATAGCTAAAAGATACAAAGGAAAGGTGCATGGATAGCATCATGAGTTAACTAATGTGTGAACTAATTGATAAAACGGTGGAAAAGATGTGTATAGCTACAAAGGATAGCAAAAACAAAAAGATATCTATCAACAAGTAACAACCTTTTAATATATTAGTTTTTCCTATTTTATTTTCCACAAAAAGGTGATCCCTAGGTTTCCTATAAAAGGCACTGCATGTGGTGCCCATCCTCATCGATCACCTATAGTGCTTTTTGGAGTTTTAGTTCTTCGGGGCTCTCAAACTTCTAATCAATTAAGGTACAACATCTATCTTATAATTCTTGAAAGTAGTTTACATATAGTTCGTTTCTACGTATATATGTACTTTAAGAAACTATGTTGTTTTCCAAAGCTATGCTTGATAGGAGAATAGAACTAATAAGTTGTTGGATGAATCAACAATTCATTTTATCATTAAGTATATGAGTGCTTTCTGTATCTAGGTGAATCTATCAAGCCCAAACAAGAAAGAAATGGATCGTCCAATTAACATTCATACATCACCAAGGACGCCCTTGTCATTGTCTAGGCAACAGATGATAGAAGAATTTTGGATGAAGAAACAAGAAGAAATTGAGGTGACTGAGGACTTTAGAGAGCGCACAATCCCCGTGACTTGTCTCAAAAAGGTCATTTGTGCCGAGAAGGGTAAAATGATAATGACATCTGACACCCCAACCTTCCTGACAAAGGCATGTGAGGTATTTGTGTAGGAACTTTCTGTCCATGCTTGGGCGTGTGCTAGTTCCCACAATCGTAGCACGATATTGGACTCTGATATTGCTGAGGCAATTGCCTCCATTGAGTCCTATGATTTTCTAAATGATGTTCTATGCGCACATCTTGAAAAGTACAAGTTTGATCTATGTCTACAGTCTACTAAGAAGCCTTATCACCACATGTTGACAAGTCAGTCATCAACATCCCTCGAATCTTCTTTGGATCAATACCAAATGACACAATTTATTCCTCAGTCTACTAGATATAATCCCTTTATTTGCATTCCTCAACCTTTGCCACCAACTAATAATGCTAATCCAATGCATTTACCCTTGCCACTTCCACCACAAAGAGCATGCCCCATAATGGCAACCCCAATAAGACCTACACCAATTGTGAGTGGATCATTCCCACCTATGACATACATGACCAAGGGTCTATGGTTCTTGAGGAAATGCATTAGCAACAATGATGCTGCTTTAGGTCTTATGACTCCTCAACAAGCATATTCCGTAAGCACTACCCAATATTCCAAACAACTGCTACGTGAGTACCATTGCTTCTACTGATACATATTGTGTTCATAGTGCTAGCACTAGTAATTTTGTTTCTCAAGATGGTGACATGACATTCCATTTCCCTCATGTTCCTCTAAAGCCTTTTCAATTGTCATCCTCTTCAACAGTGGATAGTATTGTTTCCACTATATATACTGATATCGCTGAATTGAATAATACCAAACTGGATGTTACACATATTGGAAATTCCACACATGGCATTAATCCTGAAACTACTTTCAATGTCGATGATGGTGAACAAAAACATATGGGAGATGAAACCACTGCTGCCAATCATATGAATGTTGTGCATGGAGAGTTAGATGCAAAAGTTGTTACTACTACTAATGTGGGTGCAGATGACAATAATATAAATTGGGATGAAATTGACATGGCCAACAATTCCATGCTGATGGAGTTTTGGAAAGATGTAATGATGGAAGAAGAATCGACACCTTTGCCAGCCACTATCTCAACCGATGATCTTATTCTGCTTCCTAGTGAGGGATGTTGTCATGATTCATATCTTCTTGATGACATCATGTCTGATGCAAGTACCGATGGAAGGCATAACTAGATCGATTAAAGGCATGAGAAGGAAGCAAGATTATATATATATATGTAGTGACAAATGTTTTCTATTTGTTATATGTTGGTGTCATATGTCTTCTCTAATAAATACAAGGGAAAATGGTGTTCTTGCCCTTATGTAGGAGTCTAATTGTGATTTTACCCTTGTTTTCTCAACTTTGTGATTTTGCCCTTGCTATTTTGAATTGAATCATCCGTTTGCCCCTGGTTTGGATGCTGTCAGATGGTCATGGAATAAATGAATTAAAAAAATTCAAAATCTGAAAAAACAAAGGAGAAAAGACCAAATTGCCCCTTATCCTTGTATTCAGCCTCCATAATGAAATTGTGCCTTTCTCACGGGCCGGCTGCATCGACCGGGGCATCGGGGGCATCCGACGGTGGCGGCGTTGGCAGCGCACAACGCGCAGTGTGGCAACGGCTCCCGACGGCAGGGCTCGCACGCTGCTGCAGGGTGGTGGCGGGCTCAAAGACGTGGCATGCCAGCGGTGTTGGGGCGCCAGAGGGCAGCTGGGCTTGGCACGCAGCAGCAGTCTGGGGGCTTTCAGGCTTTGCCGCCACGCCGCAGCTCCTCCTCCTTCTCCTTCCCGCCTCCCCGGCGTGGCTCATCCTCCTCCTTCCCGCTCCCCCTAGCTGCGTCTCCTCCTCCGCCACACTTCACCACGCGCGCTTTCGCGTGTTAGGGTTTGAGGAGTACCGGCGGCGCGACAACCGGTGGCGGCGTAGCTCATCCTCACTCCGCCCGCTCCTCCCCCAGCTCGCGCCGCGCAGATTGGAGAGCCGCGTGGCTCATGGGGCGGGCTCCACCCCGACCCTCCCGGTTCGCGCCCCCGGCATGCGCGCCAGGGCCTCGCCACCACCCCGCCCCCGCCTCACGTGGTCGCGGCCCGCATCACAGCGCCGCCGGCGCCGCCGCCGCCTTTCATCGCGACGGACGAGGTCGGGGCGCTCTGGATCGGGACCCTCTGATCTTCGATGGACGAGAACTACGTCTTCGGATGCTTCAGCGAACACTTTGAGGTATGTCACCCGATCGATTGATTGATGTCAAGTGGATGCGTGTGATTTCGATTGTTGCTCTTCACGGAATATATGATGCGCCTGCGCCCTTTGCTTTGCTAAATAGGTCTTGCTTTAAGGTTTATAAAGATTTTAATTGTTTACTAGTTTTGTTGTGAATTTCGTACGACTGCTGACGATTGAAGCTCCAGGCTAAGTTAGTTTGTAGTGATTCTAGAACCTATTGTAATGATCAAGCTCTGGGCTATATTTGTGATTGAATCGTTAATTTTAAATTTTGTTTCATGAATTGTTAGCATGATCTGGCGATAGTTGTATATCTTGTAAAATAACTTAAAATTGTTGTTTTCTGTTTTTTTTTTGCTGCCTATTTCTTCTACCCAAGGGTAATAATGTTTAGCAGCCATTGAGCCATGTTTTTTTTTGACCAAGACTATTTATATGCTTCAGTTTGAGTTTCCTGATTGGTGTTTATAGATGTATGCTGCCCATGCATTCATGATTTTCTGACCCTTTACTTCATATTTACATGATTTTTCAGGTTCAAAATGTGAAGCTCATCCGTGACAAGAATTCAGGACAGCTTCAGGGCTATGGTTTTGTTGAATTTACAAGTCGTGCAACTGCAGAGCGAGTTCTTCAGACATACAATGGACAGATGATGCCAAATGTTGAGTTGACATTTCGGCTAAACTGGGCCAGTGCTGGTGAAAAGCGTAATGATACTCCTGACTATACTATTTTCGTTGGGGATTTGGCTGCAGATGTTACAGATTACTTGTTACAAGAGACATTCAGGGTTCATTATCCCTCGGTGAAGGGTGCAAAAGTTGTGACCGATAAATTGACAATGCGCACAAAGGGATATGGGTTTGTGAAATTTGGTGATCCTACATAGCAAGCTCGTGCAATGACTGAAATGAATGGAATGCCTTGTTCTTCCAGGCCTAAGCGTATTGGTCCTGCAGCAAGTAGGAAAAATACAGGAGGTGTTGTTCAAGAGAGAGGTAAGCATGGCCAGTCTCATGTCCTTGTGATTCTTGTTAGCTTCTACATGTTTGCTGATTGATGCAATTGAGGATACATTTAACTTGTTATGTCGTGCTGGTGCTGCCTACGACCCGGAGCCGTCGCCCTCCCGCGCCCGCGCACGCGCCGACGGCGAGGAGCCACCACGGGGCCGACCTGCCGGCTCGTGCACGCGGCCGCGGCCAAGCTGCTGGACCCGGGCGCGCACGCAGGCGCCAAACTGGCACTCGCGTACACTTGCTCTTCCCCGCATCACCGCAAGGATGGCCACGCCGGCGCCTTGCTTCACGGCTCGTCGGGAATGGCCGACGACTTCTTGTCTTGCTTTAACAGCTTGCCCTTGGAGCATTCCACACGGCTATAGGTATAGCCTCCTGGTCTTCCTGCGGAGATAGATTGCGACACCGCCGCTGTCTCGCGTAGGGACGGCCATTGTTCCACCGGCAATGCCGATGCAACGATCAGAACCAGCACGGTAGTGTTGCCTATAATAGATTTTGGTGATGAAAACAGAAGCAAATGGGGCTCTGATATGGAAGCAACTTGTATGGCGGTTACTTTTGCTGAAAAAACATGTACTGTATGACATTCCTATGTGGTAAGGTACTAAGGTTATCAGTGCATGCATCTACTTATACAGTTTGCTAACCGATGTTCTACATGCATTCTTATACATTGAAGATTTTTGGTCCCACACAAAAGATTATATCGAAATATTTCAAATAATTGCAAGTTGTGCCAAATATGTTTGACCAAATTTAATCAATTGTCAGCATACAATAAAAAAGTCTAATTCGAAATTAGGGTAAAATCACAATTATGCATAACAAACAGGGGCAAAATCGCATGGGCATTCATGTCCTTTTGTACAAAGTTTAACACCGTTAGGGGTGGATGACGGAGCAGGCGCAAACTGGTGCTTCGTGAATGACACAGTAGGGGTAAATTCACAAAGTCAAAAAATAGGGGCAAAATCACAATTTCGATATAAAACAAGGGTACAAACGCAAGAGCCCCTGAATACAAACTAGAAGCATACCCCGCGCGTTGCTACGGGAATTACGGATTGGTTGATTGTGTGGTATGATGACGTGGACATCAAAATGTTTATGTGTCTTGCTGACGTGGACATTACAGTTGCATGTGCTAGTGAATTTTAATTGTATGTGATAGAGTATTGCCTAGATGGATAGCTTGCATGTTGAGATAAATAGCTAGTGGTGTTTGCTTAGTGGATTTTAATTGTATGTGATGGTGCACTGTCTAATTGTATAGCTTGCATGTTGAGATAAATAGCTAGTGGGGTTTTGCTTTTACAAGAGTATAAGATATAAGATAAGATGATATGTACTATTCAATCCATCCAAAATTATAAGACGTTTGACTTTTTTGACACCAAATTTGACCACTCGTCTTATTCAAAAATTTGTGTAAAATATCACTTCTTTCGTCGTGGTTTGATTTATTAATAAAAATTTTCAAAAATGACTTAAATTTGACTATATTTACATAAATTTTTTAAATAAGACGAGTGGTTAAACTTAAGACAAAAAGTCAAACATCTTACAATTTGGGACGGAGGGAGTATTAGACAGGCCTCGTTCGTTGTTCCATGTTAAAAACAGGCCTATTTTCTCTCGCTGGCTGGCCGGGATTGAGTGAATCCTGGGTTTGATTCCAAGTTTCGTAGGTGGCGCTCTTCAATTCGAGCTGAGGAGAGGGTGAAAAGGCCTGGAATGGTCTGATACTTATCCGAACAGTCATTGAAGAAGGTCAGTGCCAAATAAATACAGGTGGAACGGGTCGTGTTCCAGGTTTTCAAGGCTCCGTTCGGTTGGGCCGTTCCGTGCCGTTCCACGCCTTGAACGGTTCTGACCTTATAGAAATTTGTCGAGGAAAACCGTTGGGCTGGTATTGATTCCCGAACGGAGCATTAAGTAGTCTCGAATCCAGGTCACAATCGTTGACGATTTCAAGAAGGAAAGACCGCAGCTTAAAGGTCAGGTTCGGCCAGTATTAAAGCTGAGCATGTTTGGTTTAGGCTACTAAACTTTAGGAGTTACTAAAGCCTCTTTTGGCATGGCTTATCCAAAACGGCTTCACCGGTGAAGCTAAAGCCGGTGAAACTAGAAAAACTGATTTTTCTCGGCTTCTAGTTCATTTTAACTCCGGCTTACAAAACGGCTTCACGCTACAGTGCCTCGATTTGCGCAAAATAGATAAAACCGAAGCAGGCGTAAGTCGTGCCAAAAAGGCCCTAAATGGTTTAGTCACTTTTAGTAACTAAAGAGGGCTAAAGCACTTTTAGTCACATTTAATCATAGTGTTTGACAAAAAAGTTACTAAATGGACTAAAGCTACTAAATTTAGGAGCTACTAGGTGAACCAAACAGGCCATAAAGCTAAGGGGTTATTTAGTTTGCAAATTTTTTGACGAAATGGTACTGTAGCACTTTCGTTGTTATTTAGCAATTAGTGTCCAATCATAGTCTAATTAGGCTTAAAAGATTTGTCTCATGAATTTCGTCTAAACTGTGTAATTAGTTTTATTTTTTATTTATATTTAATGCTTCATGCATGCATCCAAAGATTCGATGTGACGAAAAATCTTGAAAATTTTTGCAAAATGAAGTGGAACTAAACGGTACCTAATTTGGTGTGAGAAAAAAAAATTCTCCGATAAGTCGGCTGAAGCGAACAGGCCATAAATTGGGAACCTCCAGCTGCTTCGTACGTAGTGCTACTGTACGAGTTGGAGTCAGAGTCCATTTCTTGGTCGGCACGAACGGGTCGCCTGGGCAGCGCTGTCCTTGGCTCCTTGCGTTCCTCCAATCCAACGCTTCACACACCGGACAGAGCCAACGACCCGAATCTCCAAGGTTTCACACACCGGAAGGGAAACAAAAACAAACGAAGGCGGCTGTACCTGCCGCCCCAGGCCCAGCTCGTTGACTCGCTGTCGCTGTCCTTGGAGACAAAAGGCAACGCGACCACGAACCAGCTCCTCCCCCAAGAAACCCCCAGCGCGATTCCATTCATTGCTTACCTATCGCCGAGATTAAGGGCATGTTTGGTTTCAAATAAGTCATCTACTTATAAGTTAAAAAGTAAAATAAGTGACTTATTTTACCAAACACCACCAATTTATAAGTCACCTGCTTATAATAAAGAAATAAGTTTGGTTTACCCTTGCTTAAAACTTATAAGCCACCCTTTTTCGCATGGGGCCCACACCTTTTATGAGCTTATAAGTCATCTACGACCAAACAGACATGACTTATAAGTCACTGGTTTTCAGTCACTTGACTTAATAAGTCACCTGACTTATAGAAACCAAACAGGACCTAAGGACGCCAAGATTAATGTCTTCTTTAGTTTCTCCTATAAGACTTTACACCCTATCTCTTTAAATATTTGGACACATACATAGAATATTAAATATAGACTAAAAAAATTAACTAATTATGCAGATTGCGACTACTTTACGAGACATATCTTTTAAGTCTAATTAGCCTATGATTTGACAATGTGGTACTACAGTAATATATGTGCTAATGATGGATTAATTATGCTTAATAAATTCGTCCCGCGGTTTACTGATGGATTCTGTAATTTATTTTTTTTATTTGTATCAAACACCCCATGCGACACCCCGTGTAACCACCTAGATCTAAAGCAGGCCTAAAAGTCAACGCTGAGTTACTATAAACTAAATAAAATTTCACTTGCGTGGCTTGGAACCCAAAGTTGTCTCATTTGAAAGACTATATTTACAAATCCGTCCGTTACAAGTCCGCTGTGCACGCCTCAGCAAAACTCAGATGTGGCTGCTCTGGAGTAAACAAAAGTAGTGAAACAGAACGAAACACATCGACAGCGACCGCAGTAAATTAATGTACATGTACAGTTGCAGTTCCTTCCTCTGCAGAGAGGAAGGCAGCGGGGAAAAGTGGGTAAAAAAAAAATCAAAGAATGAAACAAAAAAACGTGGGCAACGTTGCTGCGACTGCGAGGAATCCGAATCCGACGACGAGCTCTCGGTGCCGATGTTGCTGTCACGGCGTTAGCTCGACGCCGAGGACATGGCGGAGAGGCGGCTGGGCGTGGGGCAGAATGCCTCGGCGCGGCGGTGCGTCTGGGAGGGCGGTGGGCGGACGAGCACGGCCAGCGCGCGCCTGATGTGGTCGCCGCCCTCCACCGCGGGTTGGCCATGGACGCGCGCCACGGCGCGCTGAGACTGCTGGACACCGCCGCCTGCGGCTGCTTGGCCCCTGTGCAGGGCGCAGCGGTAGGAGCCCGGGTGCGTGGTGGGCGAGCACGCGCACGACGCCCGCTTCGGCCGCCCCGGCGCGAGGCGGCGGTGGTGGTGAGGCTGATGATGAGGCCGCGAGAAGGCGCCGCGGGAGGCGCGGCGCTGGGGGACGGCGTCTGCGGGCGGTGGAGATGCCGCCGCCGCCGCAGCAGCAGCCATGGCGCTCGGTGGATGACGGGACGGTGCTGTCGCTCTTGCCATCTATCCGCCCGGGGTCCAGACGCTGGTGCGGGAAGAGAAGCCGAGAAGGTGCTTGGTCAGTGGCGGTGGTGGCAACTGGCAAGAGCCAACAGCTGAACAGGGACAGATTCGGTGGTGGGCGTTTCGGCGGCGATGCAGCCAAACCTAGCGTGGCGGCCATGGCGGGGTATTTGTAGTTGTAAAGAAAGGCGACGAACGGGAATGGCGGCGACTCGATCCAAGTCCAACGCAAGGGGAGGTGGAGCGGGCCCGTTTCGGTTTAGTTGGGCCGCGAGAGGGAAGACCGTTTGATTGCTTTGGAATGGAGTCTCCTTCTGGAACTTGGACTAGTCTCGTGTCTCGTCGTCATAATTTTT